TAAACCTAGGTAAATAAGTGATATGCCTGAGTCAGAATCCTACACTATGCATGCCAAAGCTTTGGGGAAGTTCTGATCTGCAAGTGAGTCTTTAGCAAGCATTGTTATATCCTTTTCACAAATGGCTGAATGGAGAAATACAGTAGTTAAGTGGCTGCCTAGGGGGTCACAGGTATACCTCTCCCCCTTATCTGTCGTTTCACGTATCCATCGCTTATCAATAGGGGAACATGTTCCAATTCATGTCAGTCCTGATCCACGTATCCATCGTTTGCAACTTACTTTCTTCACCTTTTGCGTTGCTTTTCTGTGGGGCTTAGCACCCACCGGCAACCAGCGCCTCCCTTCCCCCTCCAGCGCCTCCCGTCTGCTGGCAGCCATCAACTCCTCCCCCTTCCTCCCAGTGTTTCCTGCCTGCCGCAGTCAGTTGTTCAGCGGCGTGCAGGGGGCGCTGGGAGGGAGGGGGAGAAGCGGGGATGGGGCATGCTCGGAGGAGGGAGCGGAACTAGGTGGAAAGAGACAGGGCGGAGGTGGAGGGGGCAGGAAGAGATGGGGCAAGGGTGGAGGGGGGGCTGGAAGAAGTGGGGCAGGCTGTGAGTACAGTACTGTACAGTATGGTACTACCCATCATGAGTGGAAAACAAGTTCAAAGTGTTAAGAGTGGGCCTGTGTTTAAGAGGCAAAGTAAAAGTGTAACATTAGAAGTGAAATTAGATGTTATAAAGCATATTGAAAGAGGTGAATGTGCAGCCAACGTTGCTCGTATTCTCAGCTTGCCTGCTACGATGGTACGCACAATTTTTAAGAGTGCTGATTGAATTCGTGAAAGCGCTAGGAGTGCTACGAAATTGTCATTGATGAAGATAACAAAACACAGTAGTAGTACAATGGAGAAGATGGAATGTTTGCTGGCTGATTGGATTGATGATCTCCATCAAAAGAAAACGCCTGTGAGTTTAAGCTTGATTCAGGAGAAGGCCAAAAGCCTTTATAACAATTAGCTCAACAGCAGAAAAGGAGATCTTCAGTGCTAGTCATGGGTGGTTCCACAGATTCCAGAAGCATGCCAATATACATAATGTAAAACTCACAGGAAAAGCGGCTAGTGTGGATGAACAAGCGGCTGAAATGTTTCCTGCACAGCTAAAGAAAATTGTTTTGGAAAGTGGTTACTCTCCAAAACAAATTTTTAATGTAGATAAGATGGGCCTTTACTGGAAGAAGATGCCAATGAGGACTTATATTTCTCATGATGAGAAGACTGCTCCTGGATTCAAGGCCTCCAAAGACTGCTTAACCCTTCTGCTTGGAGGAAATGCAGAAGGCAATTACAAGTTGAAACATAGAATATCAGGGTTGGAAGGGACCTTAAGAGGTCATCTAGTCCAACCCACAGACAGATTTTTGCCCTAGATCCCTAAATGGCCCCCACAAGGATTGAGCTCACAACCCTGGGTTTAGGAGACCAATGCTCAAACTACTGAGCTACCTCCTCCTCCTGCCCTTACTTGTCTATCAGAGTGAAAACCCAAGAGCAATGGGGGGCTAAGTCAACTCTTGTCTCCCCATAATTTGGAAGTTGAACATTGCCTAGATGACACGCAATATTTTCCGTGAGTGGTTTGTAGACCATGCTGTTCCTGAATTTAAGGCTTACTGTCAGAAGGAAAATTTGGTTTTAAGATTCTCCTTCTGCTGGATAATACAAGTGCCCAGAAAGTGGACTATGAAGCCCTCTGCCTGAATGTCAAGATCCTATTTTTGCCACCCAACACTGCATCGTTGCTGCAGCCTATGGACCACTGGCGTAGCCAGGTTCTAAGAGCAGGGGTAAGCGAATGCATAAAAAAGACATAAAAAGGCGCCACCCGCTGGAAAAGCAAAAAAAAAAAAAGAAAAAAAGAAAAAAAAAAAAGAAAAACCCAAGTCTTGCCACCGAAGACTGAAGAACCCGCTGCGCCGAATTACCTGCCGCTGAATTGCCGTCGAAGACCCGGAGCGACTGAAGCACCCGCTGCTGAATTGCCGCCGAAGACCCGGAGCTGCCTGTGGGAAACCCGCGCTGGATTAGTCCTCAGCCAAGCGCAGCTGGAGCCGCAAGGTAGCAGGCGCCCCCCAGCAGGCAGAGGGAGGAGCATCACCTGGCTGCCACAAAGCGAGGGCGGGGGGAGCAGGAGAAGCACCAGCCGCAGGAGCCGCCGCCGCAAGATGCACGCAGCGGAGCCCAAAGTGAGTGCTGGGAAGCGTTGAGTGAGTGCTCAGGGGAGCGTCCGCTCCCCTTGTTCCCCCCATAGCTACGCTACTACTATGGACCAGGGTGTATTGGCCACATTCACGGCTTATTACCTATGGAGGATGTTCTCCATGCTGATTAAGGAGACAGCAGGTGAAGGAAAGCCCTATGTAAAGGAGTTTGGGAAGTCCTACAACATCTTGAATGGCGTAGAAAACATTGACACGTTGTGAGAAGAGGTCACTTTGCAATGTATGAATGGCATTCAGCACCATGCATGGCAGATGCTGTGCACAGCTTTGTGGGATTTGATGCTGTTCCTGCTCTCTGGCAAGAAATCGTCAAGTTGGAGAAGAATGTTGGCTTTGAGGAGGTGGAGAAGAAAGATGTAGAGGAGTTGTTGGAGTCTCACGCTGAGCAACTGACAAATGAGGAACTGATTGAGCTGGACCAGCGACGGATATCTGAAGAAAGCAAGGATGACAACGACAACGTGGGGCAGGAAGCCAGGAGTCCGACGACAAAGAATCTCTCCCGTTTCTTTGGATTGCTGTATGAGATGATGGAAATCATACAGACCACTGATCCTCTTCGTGAACGGTCTGCCAAAATCTCCAGGGCTGTCAATGATGCAGTGGCTTGCTACAGAGAGATCTATCATTCAAAGATTCATGCAGGAGAGCAGACGTCGATAAAATATTTTTTTAGGACTTCTGCAACTGAAAAGCCAGCCACGGAAAAGCCAGCCCAAGAAAACCCAGCCGCCACCCCTACCTAAGGTACTGTAAGCCTAATTGACACTGTTTTATATTATTTATTAACATGTTCTATGTGTTTGAACGGTGTTTGTAGGGTTATTTTATTCAATGTTTTATGTGTAAAATTTGTACTGTATAACCTGTATTGTAAAAAGGCACACTGTTTAGGCGAAAAGAGCATTGTCATAGGCAAGTGTGGCAACATTGTGAACTCATCCCCCCACACCCCTCCCCCCATTCCATTATTTCTTATGGGGGGAAATTCCCTGGTATCCATCGTTCCGGTATCCATGGCCCTTTTCAAGAACGCAACCCCGATGTATACTAGGGACCCCCCGTAAATGTCAAAGATGGAGAAAGAACCCCATCCTCATGGCCTATGCTATAACGTCTAGATAAAACTTCCGGATCAGATATTATGGGCCAGATTCTCAGCTGGTATTAAATGCTGTAGCTCCATTGAAGCTAAGCAGATTTACATCAGATAAGGATCTGGTCCTGGATGTCTATCTTAGACTTGGATCCTGCAATAGACACTGCACTGGTGGGCAGCTGCACTATACAGAGCCCCATAGACTTCAGTAAGGCTCACAACATAGCACTCCCCCAGTTCATTCGTTTGCAGAACAGGGGCATTAATGTGTAACGTTTGTCTCTGTTTGTGAGAGTGCCTGTACCTGTAATCTTTTTGTCCATAGTGTATGTGTAACTCGTGTCTAATATTTGTGAATATGTCTGTCTGTCTCCCTCTGTGTTTGTATCGTTCTCTCTCTCTCTGCCAGTAATGTATGCATGTCTCCCTTTGTGTGAGTGTGTGTAATTTACATCAGGTCTCTTTATATTATCTACATTTGTCTGTCTGTATGTGTAACATGTCTGCGTTGTGTGTTATGTACGCATTTGTCTACGGTGTATGTGCCGGCCTGTGTATGTGCTGAACCAGGACACACTACTGCAGTAGAGGCTGTTGTTGCTGGAAAGGGGGAGCTCCAGATGCTCTGGCTCCGTAGGGGGCTGGAGTCTTTTTCTCTCTGGCCACCCCCTGCTCCTGGGCGCTCCTGCAGCCTGAATATTTCATTCATGCTTTCTCCTTCGCCATCTCTCTCTCCGATTCAGGGAAAACGTGTGTGGGCGGCCTTTGAAAGGCTCCCTGTCAATCAAGGCGGTGAGCTGAAAAGAAAGAGAGCTAGAGAGATGGGGGGAGAACAGCTTTAATGGGGGTGGTGGGCGGCTGTTGTTGCTGCCGCCACCAGCCTTGCAGCTCTTCCCAGGGGTATCTGCATAGACAGGGGGAGTGATTCCTGCACCACAAACCTGCTCTGGGGGGGCCACCACCCCATATTCATCACCTGCTGCGAAACCACCTCAAACAAGGGAGGGGGAAAACTTCCCTTTAGCGGGTGCTCTGGCTAGCTAACCCCCAGGGCCCCTGGCTGAGCTGCCGTTGCCTTCCATAGGGGAAGGTAGCTTTGCAGCATGCAGGGTGGGTTGGAGAGCTTTGCAGGCTGTCGAGGGGCTTGGGGCGCACTGGGGAGTGGGGTCGGGTGGAGCTCTGCAGAGTCAGCATTGGGGTGCTTTGCAGTAGGTAGAGGGGCTGCAGTGTGTAGGGAGGCTTCCCAATGGGCAATTGCGTTGAAGGGGCTTTTGATTGTGTAGGGGCTGGGGGTTCTTTGCAGCATGTAGTGGGGTTATGGAGCCTTATCCTGTGGCGGGGGGGGGGATGCTTTGTTTTAAAATGTGGAGGGTGGGTGCGTGGGTGTCTTGAAGCGTCTAAGGGACTGGGGAAGTTTTGCATTGTGGGGATTGGGTCGAGGGGGGGGATTTGCAGTTTCCAGGGGGGTGGGGACGAGTCAGCGTTTGGGGGCTGTGCAGGCTCGGGGGTTGCAATGGGGGGTGGAGCTCCGCCGTGTTAGGGGGACTGGCCGCGCGCGGCAGGGTGGGGGGCTTCGCCGCCTGCATGGAGCCGGGGCGGACGGGAGGAGGGGGCTGTGCGGTGTGCAGGACACACACATGCCCTCACGTCGCCTTCCTCTCCCTGCTGGGCTGCGCTCTCCTGCAGCGCGAGTGAGTGAGGGGGGCTCTTTCTTTGTGCGCCCTGCGTACCTGAGCGGGCGGGCGGGAGCCAGGTGGGGGGCGGCAGGAGGGGGCCGGGGGGCAGCGTGCATAGCAGCGCTGCGGGGAGCCCTGGGGAAAGGCTGGGGAAAGGAGGCGTGGGGCGAGGGGGGAAGGCAAGAGGAGGCTGGTTGTGCAGCTCGGCGGTGGCGGCTCCCAGGAGCGACGGGACCAGCTTGCGCTCGATGGGGCAGGATCGTGCTGCACGGGTTGGTTCGGTTCGTGCGCGTTCGTCCGGGCTGTGTGTGTGTGTATGTGTGGCTGTGTGTGTGTGTGTGTGTGTGTGTGTGTGTGTGTGCTGGCCGCTCAGCTCCCCTGCATGCCTTTCCCCCACCCGCGTCCCAGCTCCATCTCGCCCTGCTGGCTGCTCCTGCTGCTGCACGGGGAGCGATGCACCAGCAGCCTCAGCTCGAGGGCGGGCTGGGAACCTGGAGTGGGGGTGCGTTTGCTTCATCTTGGAGGGTGAACAGCCGCTAAATAAATGAACCCCGTTGGTGTTGGGGGGGAGAGAAAGCCGGGGATGCAGGGGAGTTGCTCCGATTTCCGTGCATCTGGCTGTAAATCTGCAAGCAGCATTAAAGGCGGCCGTATAGATTCCGAGTGATCGATAAGACCCATTTTCTCCATCTCTGTTTACATCCCCTAGGCACGAATACCTAGGGGGGGTCCGATCTCCCTCCCCTCCCCCGCCCTTTCCAGCTGCGAGCAGGAGCTGGGGTATTGTTGCGATGTGCAGAGGGTGGGTGGGTGGAATATTTTCAATAGAAAATCAAAAGTAATGCGTTAAAAATACAAAACAAACCCAGGCTAATCTAGTTGTTAAACGGATCTTGCTGGTTGAACAAAATGCAGCTGGCAGGACCCAGGGTTTGGGGGAAATTGGTTTCGAATCACGTACTGGGTGGTTAACCTGATAACTACTCACTGCAGTAAAATATTAACAATAGCAACAGCTTTGCGATGCTCTCCTGGAATAATGCTGCCTTTCGAACTGATGTGACAGCCAACGCCATGGTAGACTATCACTTTCTATTAGATGGCAGTGCTGAGAGCAGGATAGTTAATGTAGGTCAGGGGTCTCAAACTCAATTTACCTTAGGGCCAGTGCCAGTCCTCAAATCCTCCCAGCAGGCCAATGTCACTCATGCTGCCCAGAAACTGCCCCCCAAAAACTCCGCCCAAAAACTCTGCCCCACACCTGCCTAAGGCTCTAGGACGGAGTTTGGGTGGGGGAGGAGGTCTGGGGTAAAGGATTGGGGTGCAGCCTCTGGGAGGGAGTTTGGGGGCTGGGGTGTGTGGGGATGGGGTGCAGGCTCTGGGAGGGAGTTTGGGGGCAGGAGAGGGTATGTGGGGTGGGGGTGCAGGCCCTGGGAGCGGGTTGGGGGGTGCGGTGCGTACCTGGGGCTCCAAGGCGGGGCAGGTTGGGGGGCCTCCGTGCGCCTCTGCCCCCAGGCACCACCCCTGCAGCGTCCCATTGGCCGCAGAGATGCTCTGGGCAGGGGCAGCGCTCGGAGGCACAGCCCCGCCCCACCCCTGGGCGACAGGGAGGGGTCGGCAGCCACTGGAGTGAGCAGGCAGATGCCGCTCAGCTCCGCTGCGCTGCCGGGGCCCCTGAAGGGGGAGCACCCAGGGGCGGCAGGTGAGGCCAAGGGAGAGACCTGGCCCCAAAACTGCTGGAGCCCTGCGGGCCACATTGGGGAGGCTCATGGGCCGCAGATGGCCTGCGGGCCGGGAGTTTGAGACCCCTGATGTAGGTAATGAAGTCCTGGGAAGCTGGGGACTTTTGTACAGCTGCAGGTCTGTGAGGTGGTTTGTTTGGAAGGGTTTTTGGTGGCACAAAGCAGAGAGTGGAACAAAACAGTGACTGTGTGTAGCCAGTTTGTTGGCTTGTTTACAGTTAAACAGTTATTAAAACTCTGATTTTTCATATGGTTATCTTAGAATATATATGTCTCCTCTTTCTGTGAATGGGTAATTCTTACATTGCATTTGGGAAAGAAGAACAACTCAATATTTTAGGTCTCTGGCATTACACGATTATTACTACATTAAATTCCTTACATTGATTTCAGTAGAGCGATTCCGATAGACAGCAGCTGAGGATCTAGGCCCTTTGCATGTGTTAGATTAATAAATGATAGATTTCAAAGAAGTGTGTGAGCAATACCATCTCTTTGTTTCATGATAGCCATGTGTAGCGGGACAGCATTTGTTGGTGCTCTGCATTCAGATCAAACAATTTGAGAAAATATTTCTTGCATGAATCATACATTAACGGTTACATTCAGATCTCTAATACCCACAGAAGTCTCATAGACTAAAGCAGGAATTGTGCATACATCACTTAAGGCAGAATTTTGTCCATTGTTATAATATTTGAATAAAAAAATTAACTTTTCCTACACTTGTTTTCTGATGTCCCAATATGAACGCAGAGACGAGCATAGAGTGCAGCTCTTTTAAATATATTTGTATCATCAGAACACTGGGATTAAAAGGTTTAAAGTTAGAGTCACTTCCACTTATGCCTCAGGGGTCTGATTATGCTCCAATTGCAATCAGTGGGCATTTTGCCATTGACTTACTTGGGGACCAGATTAGAACCCACAACCTTGATGCTACAAACACATATGCACCCGATGAGTGGCACTCATTTTAATAAGTCTAAATATACAAGCAAAGTCAAGCATTAGGATCCCAAGTGTGCAACTTTGTTTTGCTAAAATGAAATAGGAGTAATCTTTTTCAGTACTGATATCCACTGTCCAGGCTGAATATAGCATTACTGCCAGTAATTTAGGGTCTGAACTTTTAAAGAGTGTTCATTCCTTTGTTACAATGTGTTCTGCAAGCTAGATGTCATTTGGGTGAAGCAAGAAAGTTTATTAGCCTTTAAACAGCGGCCACACACATTCATGGATACACTGTTAGTCTAAAAATATATATATATTCTCCATCTAATTAAAATAAAGCCATATCCTTTGCTAAAATGTCACTGGTGTACTTTATTCTACTTTCTTTGAGTCCAATCCCTTATATTTCCATAAGACAAGGGCTAATTTGTTGGATAGAATTTAAAAAAAATACAAAGAAATAAAAGCAAGCCAGTCTTCATGTTTCTTAACTTTGCAAAGTGCCAGAGCTCGGTTGCTTGACAAAAGGAGGGTTAAGCGCTAGCCATGGAAGACGCATGCTATCCTCCATGTATCATCTACTCCTGCAGGAATGTTGCTGTGACTATTTACATGTGTTTTAAGTAGCATCTAAAGGCCCTTAGAGAGAGCTGTATCCCATTGTACAAGGCACTGTACGGGCACATGTTAAGGGAGAGCCTGGCCCTAAAGAATTTACAACCTACACAGACTGGACAGTCACAGGAAGTATGTTTATCCCCATTTTTACAAATGAGGTCTGAAGCGAAGAGGGGGTGATTTGCATGAGGTCCCATAAAAAAGTCTGTGTGGAGTCAGGAATTCTATGCCTGAATCAGAGTCCAGTGCCTCAGCCACAAGAGCAACCTTCCTTCCTGTTGACTTCTTGTCACACCCATCCTTCCATCCAAAACTCTAGCACGGGCAGGAAGGGGTAGTGCAGGTGATATTTTGAAGTTCAGTACACAGATCCAAGTAGCTGCATCTTGTACACAGGCAGAAATTGCCTATAGACAATGTGTATGTTGGCAAAGCACCAGTACAGCCACTGATACAAGTAAATACAACTGGTGGCCTCAATAGATCTATTAGAAATACCTTAGCTAGGTACATACTGCTATGTTACAATTGGCAGAAAATATACCAGCTCATTGATTACATGCAGCAGTCCAACAGTCCATAAGCTTCTTTCTCATATCCACTTCAGCGGCAATGCGCTGCTTTTACACCCAAGTCCTAGAGCTATGCATGACAAGAAAGAAGAGAATGGTGGTTATGTGTATGTGCCACTTGACTGTATGCCTCCAAATTCCTGTGCCATAGCTTTGTAGTGTATAGAAGCTGTTTTTCCAGACTGGGAGTTGCAGTAAGTTCTCAGGATAACTTGTTCTGCTGTGAAGCTGTTTGGCCAGTAGGGAATAGGGAGTAGTTGCTCTGGGGCTTGGCCCAGTTCTTTTCAACACCTGATATGACAACTCTTTGTTCTCCATGGTGCGGAGCAGTTTGAGGATGTGTAAATGACAATGAATTGCAGTATACATTGTGCATGCGAGTTGTCCCATCCGTAGGGATCTGCAGCATATTCCTCTGCAAAATCATGTACCAAGAGGGGCCCTTAATAATTAACTTGTATTAATCTCTTGAACTCATTTAAGTCATTCAGTTTTATTTGAAAATGCTTGTTTACTGCATATGCCTTATCTCAGTCTTGAAATATGAGACATTTATTTTTAATTTGATGTTTCTCTCCCCCAAACTGTTATTTGTGAAATCAGTTGTTCCTGAACTAGAGTTAATTAACAATCTTATCAATCGAGAATAGAATTCCATATCATAATATAGTGCACTTTCCAGACAGATCCTGCACAGTGAAGAGCTACACATACTGGAGGCTTGCAATCATGAGTAAGAAACCTCCTACTCGTGATTTTGATTTATAACATCTCAAGGGATCAAAATAAATGTATTCCTTTCAGTCTTTGTTTATTAAATAGCATGTACAATGAGCAAAATTTGCTCTGAAAATGCAGGCCTTAATTCTCCACTACTCTCTTCTGCATTGCTGGGGAGGTGTAAAGCAGTCATAAAGCTGAGTTAAACTACTCGCGCAGGCTTCTCTTTGAGTAAGGGGATTCTTGGGATGCTGTAGAGCTGTCATAGTGCCTGCAAGACACACTCCCAGGCTGGGGCAACTTGAAACTGAGGTGAGTGGCCCAGGTTCAGCATATCTGCACAGGGGCTGGGAGGCATCACAGGGCTGTAGCTACAACCGTTCAAAAATTTCTACTATAAGCAGACCTC